GTTTAAGCCCATTGTTGCAGCCACTGTGTCAGTCCATCTTGTTGAAGGTCTTCCTCTTTTTCGCTGATCCTCTACTTTTGCATGATGTCCTTCTCCAAGGACTGGTCCCTCCTAATAACAAATCCAAAGTACATGAGATGAAGTTTCACCATCCTTGCTTCTAAGAAACTCTAAGGCATTCTCCCCTAAAAGCCCTCAAATGATGCAACCTCTTCATATCCTTTCAAGGACCTCCAAAATAGGGTATGCATGAACTTATTTTCTACACTTCCTCAAAATGTAGCCCAACTCAGTAAAAGTGGACTACAGACTGTATCATACTCAAATCTTTCCACTTTCGAAGCCTTTCCTCTTAGCTTTACCTCTGCTTGGAACATGTCCCTACACTCTGCTATGAGCAGAAATTCCTCCAGGTCTCTTATAATTCTCCCCACCCAAAAGTCAACTTTCATTTCTTTGGAGTTGTCACAGCATTCAGCTTTTACTATCTTCTGTTCAATAACAGATATTCATGAAATTGTCTCAATCCTTCACTAGATACTGTGAGAGCAAAGACCTTGTCCTAGTTGACTTAACACTGGTTACCCATAGTGTTGTTGTTGTTGTTAGGTTCCGTCAATTCTGACTCATAGAGACCTCGTATGACGAGTAGAATTGCCCGATAGGGTTTTGTTGGCTGTAATCTTTATGGAAGCAGATCACCAGGTCTTTCTCCCGCAGGGCTGCTGGGTGGATTTGAACCACCAACCTTTTGGTTAGCAGCTAAGCACTACCCATTTGCACCACCAGGGTTCCTGACTACCCATACCCAGTACCCATTGCCATCGAGTCGATTCCAACTCATAGCGACCCTATAGGACAGTGTAGAACTGCCTCATAGAGTTTCCAAGGAGCGGCTGGGGGATTCAAACTGCCGACTTTTTGGTTAGCAGCCATAGCTCTTAACCACTGTGCCACCAGGGCTCCTGACTACCCATAGTAGACCTAGTAAATAATACTTTGACTGTTATAGGCTGACACTAGGTAGGCACACTGATAACTAGGAGAACACTGACAACCTGACAACTCAGAGTCTTAGAAATATAATTCATTAAATATGGATTGCCAACCTTACCCAGAAGACTATGCTAGGCACTGCAGGAGATACCAGATGAAAACAAGATCCCTGTCCTCCAGGGAAGCGTACTGTAACAGAAAAGGCACAGGATATGACAACCCAAAACCAAACCCATTGCCTCCAAGTCCATTCCAACTCATAACTACCCTATAGGACGAAGTAGAACTTCCTCATAGGGTTTCCAAGGCTGTAATCTTTAGGGAGGAAACCCTGGTGGTGTAGTGGTTAAGAGCTACGGCTGCTAACCAAGAGGTTGGCAGTTCGAATCCACCAGGCACTCCTTGGAAACTCTAGGGGACAGTTCTATTCTGTCCTGTAGGGTCGCTATGAGTCGGGATTGACTCGATGGCAACAGGCTTTTTTTTTTTTGGTTTAATCTTTAGGGAAACAGACTGCCACATCTTTATCCCACAGAGCAGCTAATGGGTTCGAACCTCCAACCTTTCGGTTAGCACTTAACCACTGCACCACCAGGGCTCTCTGGATATGACAACAGGAAACCTAAATTCCATTCTCAAATCTGCCACTGATAAACAATGTAACCCTGAGGAAGTCATATCCTACGTCTCAATTTCTTTATTTCTCGAAGAACCCACCTCACAAGGTTAAAACCTATCTCAAAAGAAAAGAACATGGTAATAGTTGTGAAGGAAGCGCCAGCGAACCAGAAAATGATTTAAAAATGTTTATGGGACCGCTGTTCCTGAACAAAGGAGGTGCCTGTCTGGGGCCTCTTACAGAGGAGGCTCCCCATAAGCCCAGGGATGACAGCTCCAACTTTCCTCTGGCTGGGCCCTAGGAAGAGTACTGCGCACGCGCAGTGGGGAGACGGCCCAAACCCTGTGAGCCAATACCTGTCGTGGTCCCTCGACATCCCGGGAGGCGACTGTTACTGGGTGAGGTGCCCGGTACAAAAGGGCCTCAGGTCCCGCGAGAGTGGAGAGTGACGCAAGAACACTCTCGACGCGCAACACCTCGCAAATCAGGAATGGGATCAAATTGCGACACCCGGAGTCAGGTTCTCTTGCTCCCAAGCGAGGAGACGTTTCAGGAGCTCCTCTAGGCTTCCCTTAGGCCTGAAGACTTGGTGGTATTAACTCTTCCAGGGCTGAACGAAAGCAGGGAACTGGTTCCTCAGGGAGGGTAAGGACACGCAGGCCAGTCCCTGACTCCACCGGGCTTAGTCTCCACAGGTAGAGGGAGGGAGTCGGCTGGCGTGGCTATCGCAACGTCACCGGACACGCATCCTTTCATCTTCCGGTTGGGGCCTGATCCACAAAGCACAACCCAAAAATGGTGTTTCGGGTTAGAGTCCTGGAGAGGGAGAAAGGAGGGCCGGGTGGGGCCTGATCTTCCATTGGCCCTGCGCTCCGGAAGCCTGGGGACTTAGCTCTCCAAGCATATAGCGCTCTTTGCTGATACTGCCTTCCCTAGTGGCGCAGGGGCTGAGAGTTGCGCTCTCCAGAGTAGACGACAGGTAATATTACAGTTGAGACAGTGAAAGAGGCAAGTGGCCTCCACGCAAGCCGGAGCTGTCTTGAGGTAACCAAGAAACTGATTTTCCTTTGGATTTGGTCAGGAGACTCCTGAGAGATGTCGGCCGGTCCTGCCATTTGCAGCCTTTGGGGCAGCTGCGTGGCGGCGGAGTGCGCGTGGAGGTGGGACACAGCCATTTTAAGTAGACGGTGGCATCCTCATTGCCTGGAGGCGGGTGCGCCTGCGCACCAGCGGGAGCTGTCCTCAGCTCCTACAGGCACTTCTAACCTCTTTCTATCCTATGAGCAGATATAACCCAGGGCTGCTGCTGAAGCACACTCGGAGGCTCCCCCAGTGTTGAGTGCTTGTAGGAGCTCCTGTAGTCCGTCTGGAAGGTTTAGCGAATCCAAGTTAGAGGTTGGGGCAGTAATGTTACCACTGCACTCATTGAAACTTTCCCGGTTCTGCTAGCATATGTCACTAGAGAAAAGGTCAGTTCAGTCCCAGAGACATCTGCTTCTGTTAACACTAAAATATAAGAAGTGTCCCCGTACCTCCTGAACCTGAATAGGTAGCTGGAGCCAGTCATTTCTTTCACATCCTAGAAACAATTGGGTTGCCATTTCTTTTGGATCACCTCAGAGGAAATGGAGCTTACATTATCCAATGTTATCCTCGGCCTTACTTACAGGTTAAATGACCCTGAGGAAATGTAAAGTCAGCAGAAGTGTTACCCTTAGTAGGACCTTCCCTGTCAATGAAGAGCCTTAATCATCACCTTCTCTTTTTCTCTCCTACTTTACTATCTGACATTTTGGTATCTTGTAAACAAAGGCCAGCTTTAATTTTTTCCAGTGGAAGGAAACAAAACATTTAAACTACAGGTACAAGTTATCTGCACAGTGCCCTTTATAAGTCTTGCAAATAAATGACAGAGAAAAATGATGAGGATGTGGTTCCTTAGTTGGGGGCACTTGATAGGAATAAAGCTACTTTTCTCCTAATTACTTTTCTTCTGTTCTGGTTTCACTATCTCAACTCTCCTGCCAGTATTAATACAATGGAAAGGAGACTACAAACTATTCCATGAAGTGAAGGCTTTCATCTTCACAAAAGGATGAAGGGGCATAGAAATTGTTTTTTCCCCAAGTAAAAACAAAACACTGGGATGATCTGTTAAAGTTTATAGAAACTAAATGTGCCCATTTCATCCCAGTCTTCCCTTGACATTGTGAAGATAGGACAGGAACACACAGATTAAGTCTTTGGATGATCTCAAAACCCCTTTTAACCATTGGATGCCAGTTTTGTCATCCACCAACCTTTCCTGAACCAGAAAACAAACAAACAACGAAAAAGTCATTGATTGACATTTGCCTTCTCTGAGCTGTGCTTTGTCTCAAGGTTGAATAACAAAGAAAAGGAGAGAAATCTAGATCCTGAACTAATCTATGATCATGAGTGCTCTAATACTTGGCAGTTAATTTTAAAGGGCAGGCAGGACAGGACCTTTTCTATTCATTTTTCTCTGATAAGTAGCAAGTACATAGGGGTCATGTGGCTTTCTACTTGACGTGTACTTTTTTCCTGCCCTCCCTCAGTGTCCTCAGGAAGAAGATCCTCTAATTGATTTTGTACGAAACCTGAAGGGGCCTTAGTTGTCAAAGGTGGTGCCAGGGGGTTGTCACACACAGGAATAAAGCTGTTCCTAGAGCAGAATGATGATGGGAGATCTTGAGGTGGCTGCATGCTGGAACCCCCAGATGAGGTCTGTGTTGGAGACTAAGGGATCTGTGAAAGAGAGCTCCAGTCAGAGTAAGAAATCCACCCCACAGACAAACAGTCTTGACCCTGAGAGCTCTCGCCAGCACTTCCGGAGCTTCTACTATCCTGAAGCAGTTGGACCCCTCCAGGCTGTCAGCCAACTTCAGGAATTATGCCGTCGGTGGCTGAGGCCAGAGATCCACTCCAAAGAGCAGATCTTGGAACTGCTGGTGCTAGAGCAGTTCCTGACCATTCTGCCCAGGGAACTCCAGACCCAGATGCAGAAGCATCATCCACAGAGCATCGAGGAGGCTGTGGCCCTGGTGGAACACTTTCATAGAGAATCTGGTCAAAGGAGGAATGAGGTGAGAAGAAAGATTCCCAACATATACGATGAAATAGGATAAAGGTGGGCCTAATGGGGAGGCAGGCATTTCATGAGGAATGAAATGGGTATTGGGTCACTCTTCTGTTGTTCCGTTAGGACAGCTGAGGCAGGACCTGAAATCCTAGGTCCCCAGCAATAGTCTTCCACAGGTTTTGGATCTTATCCGTGCTGCCCATGACCCACATTGCCTGGCAGGTGCTCTGAGGTGTGTTCACTCCAGGTGTTCTCCCCTAGGCAACCAGGCCTGGCACAGTGGGGATTGGGTACCTCCCAGGGTGTTTACTCTGATGCCTTTGGCTTCTTCCTTGATGGCTTCTCTCTCTCTCTTTTTATCATGTACTTTCTTCAGTGTGTGGCCTACCATGCAACTCAGAGATGGTGGTCGGATTGCTTCTGTAGTGGCAAGTACTGACTTTAAGCCCATTCTCTTCTTCAGAGTTTGTTGACCTTTGAAGATGTGGCCCTGAATTTTTCCCAGGAAGAATGGGAGTTATTGGACCCCACTCAGAAGGCCCTCTACAACAATGTGATGCAGGAGAACTATGAGACTGTCATCTCTCTGGGTAAAGATTTACTCTTCCTTTCGTTGTTGTTGTTGTTAGGTGCTGTCGAGTCAGTTCTGACTCATAACGACCCTTTGTACAACAGAACGAAGCACTGCCCGGTCTTGTGCCATGCTCACAGTCGATGCTATGCTTAAGTCTATCATTGCAGCCACTGTGTCAATCCATCTCGTTGAGGGTCTTCCTCTCTTTCACTGACCCTCTACTTTACCAAGCATGATGTCCTTCTCTAGGGACTGGTCCCTGCTGATAACATGTCTAAAGTATGTGAGATGAAGTCTTACCGTCCTCGCTTCTGAGGAGCATGCTGGCTGAACTTCTTCCAAGACAGATTTGTTCATTCTTCTGGCAGTCCATGGTATATTCAGTATTCTCTGCCAACACCATAATTAGAAGGCATCTGTTCTTCGGTCTTCCTTATTCATTGTCCAGCTTTCACATGCATATAAGGCCGTTGAAAATACCATGACTTAGGTCAGGTGCACTGTCTTAGTCATCTAGTGCTGTTATAACAGAGATACCACAAGTGGATGGCTTCAACAAAGAGAAGTTTATTCTCTCACAGTCCAGTAGGCTAGAAGTCTGAATTCAGGGCAGCAGCTCCAGGGGAAGGCTTTCTCTCTCTGTTGGCTCTGGAGGAAGGTCCTTGTTATCAGTCTTCCCCTGGTCCTGAAGCGTCTCAGCACGGGAACATTAGGTCCAAAGGACACACTCTGCTCCCAGCACTGCTTTCTTGGTGGTATGAGGTCCCCATGTGTCTCTGCTGGCTTCTCTCTTTTATATCTCAAAAGAGATTGGCTTAAGACACTATCTAATCTTGTATACCTCATCAGTATAACTGCCACTAATCCATCTTATTACATCATAGGGATAGAGTTTACAACACATAAGGAAATCACTTCAGATTACAGAATGGTACACAATCATACAATACTGGGACTCATGACCCAGCCAAGTTGACAGACATTTTTTGGGGACACAATTCAATCCATGACACGCACCTTAGTCCTCAAAGTGACATCTTGGCTTTTTAACACTTTCAAGAGTTCTTTTGCAACAGATTTGCCCAATGTGATATGTTGTTTGATTTCTTGACTGCTACTTCCGTGGACATTGATTGGGTATCCAAGTAAAATGAAATCCTTGACAATTTTAATATTTTCTCCATTTATCATGATGTTGCTTATTGGTCTAGTTGTGAGGATTTTTGTTTTCTTTATGGTGAGGTGTAATCTATACTGAAGGCTGTATTCTTTGATCTTCATCAGTAAGTGCTTCACGTCAGGGTTATGTCATCTGTGTATCACAGGAGGTTAATGAGTCTTCCTCCAACCCTGATGCCACGTTCTTCTTCATGTGGTCCAGCTTCTCGGATTTATTTGCTCAGCATACAGATTGAATAAGTATGGTAAAAGGATTCAACCCTGATGCACACCTTTCCTGATTTTAAACCACGCAGTATCCCCTTGTTCTGTTCAAACGACTGCCTCTTGGTCTATGTACAGGTTCCTCATGAGCACAATTAAGTGTTCTGGAATTCCCATTCTTTGCAATGTTATCAATAATTTGTTATGATCCACACAGTCGCATGCCTTTGCATAGTCAGTAACACACAGGTAAACATCTTTATGGTATTCTCTGCTTTCAGCCAAGATCCATCTGACTGTTATTTCCTCAGTTGACAGAGAATGCATCTCAGTTTACAGAGAATGTGAATTGTAGATTCACATGAGAGAGTCCCACTGTTTCAATAGCTGATTTGTTCTCAACTTTATGGTGTGGAGGAAGGGAAGGATGTATCCAGATCACCTAGAGAGCTTTTCCCAAATACACATGCCTCACTTCCTTATCCTAAATAGAATTCTTACTGTATCCCTTGCTTCCAACTGCCCTGTAAACCTGCTCTTCCCATGTCTTTCCCATCTCTGTAAAAGGCACCACCATTCACCTAATTGCTCAGACCAGAAACCTCATAGATATCCTTTTTTCCAGTCTTTTGTCATACCTCACAACCAATCCCTCAGCAAGACCTCTTAACTCTACCATCACAATATATTCTGAATCCAATCATGTCTGAAACTCTCCCACTGTTACCTTCCTAGTCTAAGTCACTGTCATTTCCATCCCAGGTCTACATCAATAGCTTTGTATGTATTTCAATAGCTTTGTAACTGAAGTCCCTCTGCCCCCACTATCAACCTCTTAGTCTGTTTTCTGCAGCCAAAGTGATCCTTTTTTTAGTTCTATTTATTTTGTTGTTGCTGTTATTGAGAATATGCACATCAAAACATACACCAGTTCAACAGTTTCTACATGTACAATTCAGTGACATTAATCACATTCTTCAAGTTGTGCAACCATTCTCACCCTTCTTCTCTGAGTTGTTCCTTCCTATTAACATAAACTCACTGCCCCCTAAGGTTCATTTCTAATCTCTCGAGTTGCTGTTGTCAATTTGATCCCATATAGATAGTTCTTAAAAGAGCATAATGCGCAGGGCAGACATTTTTCACTAGTTAAGCTAACCTATTGTTTGGTTTTAAGAAGACTTCAGGGGATATTTTTGGTTTAAGGTTTAAAGATGATCTCAGGGCAATAGTTTCAGAGGTTCATCCAGCTTCTGTGGCTCCAGGAAGTCTGGAGTCCATGAGAATTTAAAATTCTGTTGTACTTTTCCCCCCTTTTGATCAGGATTCATCTATAGAATCTTTGATCAAAACGTTTAGTAATGGTGGCCGGGCACCATCCAGTTCTTCTGGTCTCATGGCAGAGGAGGCAGTTGTTCATGGAGATGATTAGCCATACCTTCCATATCCTCCTCCTATTCCTGACTCTGCTTCTTTCTCTGTTGCTGCAGGCAAATAGAGACCAATTGTTGTGCCTTGGATGGCCACTTGCAAGCTGTTAAGACCCCAGGCAGTAAGCCACAAACTACAAGGTAGAACAGAAGCACTAAACACATTATTAGGCCAATTAACTGGGATGTCCCATGAAACTAGGATCCTAAACCTCCAAACCAAGGAACCAAATCCCGTGAGGTGTTTTGTTGTACATAAGCAGCCTCAGCAACTACTCTTTTTTTGTCATCATTGTAAATATATCTATCTCACAGCTTTTGCCAATTCAACTTTTTACAGGTGTACAACTTATTTACAGCGCTTACAATAATCAGCTGTGCAACCTTACCCTTAATCAAAGTGAGGTCATACAAAATTTGTCCTTTTGTGATTGACTTATTTCACTTGGCATAATGTCTTCAAGCTCCATGCATACTGTAGCATGTATCAAGACTTTATTTCTCCTACTGGCTGTGTAGTATTCCATTGTATGGATATATGTACCACATTTTGTTTATCCATTCATCTGTTGATGGGCATTTAGATTGTTTCCACCGTTTGGTTACTGTGAATAGTGCTGCAGTGAACATTGGTGTACAAGACTGACTTTCTGCTTTCAAGTCTTTTGGGTATATCTGTAGAAGTGGAATTTCTGGGTCATATGGTAGTTCTATTTTTAGTTTTTTGAGGAACCATAGTTATCTTTTAAAGATATAATCAGATGTATGGTATTTCCCTGCTTCAAACCCTGCCATGACTTCTCATCACATTCAGAATAAAATATAAATTTCTTCCCAAGACCCACAGGACTACATGAAGTGGCCCCTACTTCCCTTTCTACCCTCCTCTCCTCCATTCTCTCCCATGCTGAGTCCTGTTTAGCCACACTGGCTTTCTTAAACTGTTTCTTGAACTTGCCAAACTCATTTCTTCCTTCCCACTTCCTCTGCCTGGTGCACTTTTGCACCACCTCTTCGTATCACTAAATGTTCTCTCTTCTTTCAGGTTGTTGTTTGAATATCACTTTCTCATAGAGACCTTCCACAACCACCTTATTATCTAAAATAGCGTCACTCCCAAACTGTTCTATTACCCTTCTTTAGTTTCTTCAAAACATGTATCACTTCCTGATGTTTTATTCATTACTTTATTTCTTTGTTATCTGACTCTCCCAATAGAGTGCAAGTACCACAAGAACAGAGGATTCTATCTTATTGACTGCTATATTCCCAGCACCTACAGCAGTGTTTAGTCCACAGTAGGCATACAATACATATTTATTTATTTATTGTTTTTTTAATACATATTTATTGAATGCCTGAGTGATGAATAATTCCCTCCACCTGGAGACCTATAGGAAACCCTGGTTGCATAGTGATTAAGAGCTATGGCTGCTAACTAAAAGGTCGGCAGTTTGAATCCGCCAGGCGCTCCTTGGAAACTGTATGGGGCAGTTCTACTCTGTCCTATAGGGTTGCTTTGAGTCGGAATCGACTCGATGGCAACAGGTTTTTTTTTTTTTTTTTTTTAGAGAACTGTATATTGAAAAACTAACTGTATCAAGTGATTCTGGTTGGTCCCCTCTGGTTCAGTGTGAACCAGTGAACTATAAAAATATTAGAATTATGTCCTAGTCCAGTACCTTGTGCTTAAGCACTAAATAAAAATTAATTATTACGGGAACCAGTTGGTCATGTGTTACCCAAGTCAGAGACCTTCAGACTGGCTCCACTGGACCCATGCCATCCAGGACAGGGATGAATCCTCTCAAAGAGTTAATCAGACCAGATTACATTCCCTGCAACTTCTGGAGCTTAGTTCCTCTTTGGTTGAACATAGGGTATTCCTGGTATCAGAAGAGGGGAAACTTGAAGTGAATTTCCCTTCCTCATATCCTTTTCATCTATCCACCTTAGGTTTATTTCTTAGTTCCCTCAATTGCATATCCACCCACAATGACTGTAGAATATAATCCAGATATTGGATCCAAGATTCTACTCATCTAACCATTTGGAGTGTCTTAGTTATCTAGTGCTGCTATAACAGGAATACCATAAGTGGGTGGCTTTAACAAACAGAAATTTATTTTCTCACACTTTAGGAGGCTAGAAGTCTGAAATCAGGGCACCAGCTCTAGGGGAATGTTCTCTCTGTCTTTGTCAGCTCTGGGGGAATGTCCTTGTCTCTTTTCAGCTTCTGTTCCTTGGCTCCCTGGTGATCTTCGTGTGGCTTGGCATCTATCTTCCCCCATCTCTGCTTGCTTCTCTATGCCTAATCTCTTTTTATATCTCAAAAGATAATTGGCTTAAAACATACCCTACACTGGTAAGGCCTCTTAACATAACAAAGAAAACCATTCCCAAATGGGATTATAGTCACAGGTATAAGGGTTAGTGTTTACAACACATATTTTGAGGAGACACAATTCAGTCCATAACATGAATTAAAACAAAAACGTGTAAAAGCATCATTCACTCCCCCTGAAATAGTCTGGGAACTACTGGACCAATTAATTTAGGATGGCTATTCATGACCTCAAGATTTTGTTATCAGAACATTAAATTTCCACCCCAAACCTAAAATGATCTGTTTAGAGCAAGGGAAGAGCCATGGATCCAAAGTCTGTAAGTGTTCAAAGATAATATTGCATAGTTTTCTACGGGTAAGTGGGAAGAGGTAAAATACTCCTTGATAGGAACCTTTACAGGGGCTTAGAATTTTACAATTCTAGTCCTGTATTTGTTTTCATTGAAGTTTTATTGAGGTAATTGTAGATTCACATGCAGATTTAAAATATAATACATAGAGACCCATGTACACTTTACCCAGTTTCCTCTAATGGTAGCATAATATCACAACCAGGATATTCAAATTGATATAATCCTCCAATCTTATTTAGATTTTCCCAGTTTTACTTGTACTCATTTGTGCATGTATTATGAATTTAGTCTGTAGAATTTTAACACCTGTATCCACCACCACAATCAAGATACTGAACTGTCCCATTACCACAAGCATCCCTCCTGGTGCTCTTCCATAACCACATGTACTTCCCTTCTACACACCCCTTCCATTCCTGTCACTAACCCATTCCAACAACTAATATTTTCTGTATTTCTAAAATTTTTACCATTTTAAAAATGTTACATAAATGGAATCACAGAATGGGTAACCTTTTGGGGTTGGCTTTTTTCATTCAGTGTAATTTCCTGGAGATTCATCCAAGTTGCTACAAGTATCAATAGTTCATTCCTTTTCATTGCTGAGTAGTATTCCATAGTATAGATGTAACACAGATTGTTTAAAGATTCACTCCTTGAAGGATATCTTTGCTATCTTAGTTTTTGGCTGTTATGAATAAAGTTGCTATGAACATTTGTGTACAGTTTTTATGTAAACAAGCTTTTCATTTCTCTGGGATAAATACACAAGAGTTCACTTGCTTGTACATATGGTAATTGCGTCTTAGTTTTATAAGAAAGTGCCAAACTGTTTTCCAGAGTGTCTTATCTTCTTAAATTCTCATCATCAATGTATGAGTGATCCAGTTTTTCCACAACCTGGTCAACATTTTATATCTGTCTTTTTGATTATAACCATCCTAGTTGGAGCCCTGTTGGTTCAGTGGTTAAGAGCTCGCCTGTTTACCAAAAGGTTGGCAGTTTGAATCCATCATCCGCTCCTTGGAAACCCAATGGAGCAGTTCTATTTTGTCCTATAGGGTCACTATGAGTCTAAACTCAACGGCAAAAGGTTTGGTTTTTTGTTTTGTTTCGTTTTTTTGGTTAGTGGGTGTGAAGTGGTAGCTCATTATGTTTTTGATTTGCTCTTCCCTGATGGCAAATGATGTTCTACATTTTTTCACATGCTCATTTGCCACCTGTATATCCTTTCCAGTGAAATGTCTTTTGACAAGTTTGTTTGTATTTTACTATTGAGTTTTGAGAGTTTTAAAATATATTTTAGGTATTACTCCTTTGTCAGATTTGTGTTTTGGATATAGTTTCTCCCAGTAGATTTTTTTTCATCTTTTCATGGGCTTCTGCAGAGCAAAAATCTTGAATTTTGATGAGGCCCAAGTTTTAATCTTCTCCTATATAGACCTTGCTTTTGGTGTCAAGCCTAAGAATTCTGTGCCTAGATCTAGATCTAAAGATTGTCTCCTATGTTTTTTTCCTAAAAGTTTTGTAGTTTTACATTTTACATTTAAGTCAGTGATCCGTTTTGAGTTAATTATTATATAAGATGTAAGGTTTAGGTTATGGTACTTTTTTATTTTTGGCCTGTGGATATCCAATTGTCCAGCACCATTTGTTGAAAAGGGTATCGTTTCTCAATTGAATTACTTTTGCACTTTTGACAAAGATCAGTTGGGCATATTTGTGTGCATCTGTTCCTGAGTTCTCTATTCTTTTCCGTTGATCTATGTGTTTATCGCTTCATCAGTACCGCACTGTTTTGATTATTGTAGGTATAAAATAAGCCTTAATGTCAGGAAGAGTGGTGCTTGCCAGTTTATCCTTTGTCAAGATCGGTTTAGCTATTTTAGGACTGGTGCCTTTTCATATAGAGGAGCCCTGTTGGCACAGTGGTTAAAGTGTTTGACTGCTAACTGAAAGGTGGGTGGTTGGAACCCACCAGCCACTCCATGGGAGAAAGATGTGGCAGTCTGCTTCCGTAAAGATTTACAGCCTTGGAAACCCTGTGGAGCAGTTCTTTTCATATAAATTTCAGAATAAGCTTATCTATGTCTACAGGAAACTTGTGTTTTGGTAGGAATTACATTAAATCTATCTGTCAAATTAAGAATTGACATCTTTACTATGTTGCCTTCCAATCCATGAGCCCAGTATGATTCTCCATTTGTTTAGGTCTTCTTTGATTTACTTCGTCAGCTTTTAAAAATTTTAAGCATACAGATCCTCTACATGTTTTGTTAAAAGTATGCCTAAGCATTTCATTTTTATTTAAGCGATTATAAATAGTATTACATTTTTAATATCAGTTTCCACACGTTCATTGTTTGTATGCAGGAATGCCAATGATTTTTATGTTTGAATATTGTATCCTGTGATCTTACTGAACTTATTTATTAGTTCTAGGAGTTTTTAGTAATTTTTTGGAATTTTCTCCATAGACAGTCACATTATCTGCAATGCCTTTTATTTCTTCTGCTTGCTGCATTGCAGTGGTTCAGACTTCCAGTACTCACCTTGTTCCTAATCTTAGCAGTTAATCTGTTCAGTATTTCCATGTTACATATGATGTTATCTCTACTTTTTTTTCTAATATTCCTTATCAAGTTGGTATAATTCCCTCTGTTCCTAACTTGCTGATAGATTTTTATTATGAATGGATATGGAATTTTGTGAAATGTTTTTTCTACATAAATCGATATGAACATATTATTTTTCCTCTTTAGCTTGTTGATATAGTGGATTATGTTGATTGATTTTCAAATGTTGAACCAGCCTTATATTTCTGCAATAAACCCCACTTGGTCATGGCATATAATTCTTCTTATACATTTTTTTTTTCGTTTTGCCAGTATGTTGTTGATGCTTTTTCCATCTAAGTTAATGTGAGATATTGGTCTGTAGTTTTCTTTTTTGGTACTGTCTTTGTCTGGTTTCCCTATAAGGGTGATACTATATTGAATATACCACGGACTGCCAAAAGAATGAACAAATCTGACTTGGAAGAAGTACAGCCAGAACACTCTTTGGAAGCGAGGATGGCAAATCTTCATCTCACAAAGTTTGGACATGTTATCAGGAGGGATCAGTCCCTGGACAAGGACATCATGATTGGTAAAGTAGAGGGTCAGCAAAAAAAAGGAAGACCCTCAATGAGATGGATTGACACAGTGGCTACAACAATGGGCTCAAGCATAACAATGATCATGAGGATGGCGCAGGACCGGGCAGTGTTTCGTTCTGTTGTACATAGGGTCGCTATGAGTCAGAACTGGCTGGATGGCTCCTGACAAGAACAACAAGGAGTCCCTGGGTGGTACAAATGGTTAATTCATTCAGCTGCTAACCAGATGTTGTCAGAGGGACTCTATTTGGTTCGAGGGAGAATGAGCCTTCCTGGGCTGCCTTCTATTACTAGGTGGAGGTTGGGAAATACTGGACCTGGGTCACCTTCTTTTGGGTGCTGTTATGTTGTTCCTCCAGTCATGGAGTTCCAACTCAGGTTGTCTAATTCTTGCCACTTTTCAGAGTTCTCCTTTTGTTGTCTCTGATGTTATTCTCTGGGTTTGTAGTTGTGCTTAGCTGGAAAGAGTAGGGAGAAACAGTTCTATACCATTTTTCCAGAACAGACCAGAAATCTTTTGTTCCTGTATTTTTTTAATCAATCATCGCTGAATATTCTCTCCATTCCTGTGGTTTTCTTGCTCTGGGATACAAATGACTGATTCTTCTGTTTATTCCAACAGGATTAAAGCTCAAAAGTGACACTGGAAATGATCAGCCTATGTCTCCTTCTGAGTTAGAAATACAAGCACCAGGAGGCAAAGTATCAAAAAAAGCCAGAGTGAAAGTTCCCCAGAAAACAACAGGCACAGAAAATCATGGTGGTACATACAGGGTAAGGAAACGGCATCAAAATTTTCCAGGGAAGAAAAGAAAGAAACATTCAACATATAAACAAGAGCTGCCAAAATGTATGGATCTTCACAGGAAAGGCCACTCAGGGGAGAAAACTTTTAAATGTCAGGAATGTGGAAAAAGCTTCAGAGTGAGCTCTGACCTTATTAAGCACCAGAGAATTCACACTGAAGAGAAACCCTATAAATGTCAACAATGTGATAGGAGATTTAGATGGAGTTCAGATCTTAATAAACACCTAATGACACACCAAGGAATAAAACCACATAAATGTTCATGGTGTGGGAAAAGCTTCAGTCATAACACAAATCTCCACACACATCAAAGAATCCACACAGGAGAGAAACCCTTTAAATGTCATGAATGTGGAAAAAGATTCATTCAGAACTCCCATCTTATTAAACACCAGAGAACCCACACAGGTGAGCAGCCCTACACTTGTAGCATATGCAAGAGAAACTTCAGCAGGCGGTCAAGCCTTCTTAGACACCAGAAACTCCACAGGGCAACGGAAGTTTGTCCCGTGTCCCCAGTCTGAATAAAGTCACTATATGGATCTGGCCCTAGACAGGATGAAAGAGTATAAAGTCATAAATCACCAATGATAGGAATCTCATCAATGGGAAATTTGGGAGGTACCAGTGCCATGCTTCCCTGAAAGGAATCCAAGTTGTCTGTCTTGTCCAGTGTTATATCTTCAGTGCCTAGCACAAATTGACACATAGGGAGTACTTTATAAATAAAAGAATGAAAATATGTCAAGTATATCTATTTATCATTGCTACCTATTTATTTATCTCTGGTTACTTGGAGCTTTCCCAGGCTCAGTGATCTACCTTCTTCAGGTATCAGGTGCTTGGCAAATATATGATGGCCGTGAGTCCTGGTCTCATTCGTTATTAGTAGAGATGGAAGAGAAGTATATAGGTCTCCAAAAGGAGAGAATTACTTAGCTGGGGAGTGCTTTTATGGCTATCATTCTATCTGCATGAACATCTAAGCCCAGCATGTAGGGAGCTTTACCCTGGTACAGGAAGAGAGGATTTAATGTGTGCTCCAGGAGAAGCACCTCCACTCTAGTTGCTATTCCTCTCGGCAGCCACTACAGCAATGTCTTCTGTCCAGCAATTCTAAGCATCAGGGGCCTGAATGCCAATACAGACCTTTGGACCTTGCAAGCACAAAACATCTGTCCTCCTGCTGATCCTTTCAACATTGACAAAACCTTCCTCTAGAAGGGGCCTTAGAAATCTGGCTTGATCAGTGGGTACCAAGCTGGTACTCAGAAAAGGCTGTTTGTGAGCTGTTAAGAGGCATGCCAAGAAAAAAAATGAGTTCTTAACCCAAGTAAAGTTGGGATCAGTGCATTAGATAAAGTCAGTGTTTCTTTACTGGAGGACTCCTCAGAGCATTTATATGTAGCTGCACAATGTGAAACTAAAGGGGTCAAGGAAGAGGGATATGACCATGTGGTGTTTTCTAGCATTGTTTAGCTACAGGAGCCTTTTTGGTGAGTGTGTGCATGTGTGTGTGTGTGTGTGACATAACATCTCTGAGAACAGTGTTGTGCAACACCAGTTTGGGAAACACTGACCTAGTTAAACCTTTCACCATTATAGGAACCTGAGGCCCAGAGAGGTTACCTGATGTGGTAGAACAAAAATGAGGTCTCACATCCGCAGACTCACAATTAAATGCCCTTTTCTCCACACTACATGGCTTCTAGGGTAGGAGAAGAGGCATCATCATTAGACATACTAGGAAGCTAAAGACTAAGAACTTAAGGCCGGACATTGGTGGCAGAGCAAAAGTTGTTGTTGAGTGCCATCAAGTCAATTTCCATTCACTGTGACCCCATGTGACAGAGTAGAACTACCTCATAGGATTTCCTAGGCTATAATCTTCATGGAAACAGATCGCCAGGTCTTTCTCCTGCAGGGTCACTGAGTGGGTTTGAACCAGCAGCCTTTCAGTTAGCAACCGACTACTTAACCATTGTGCAACCAGTGCTTCTTAGAGCAAGAATAACCCAAAAAAAGCAAACTTGTTGCCATCGAGTGGATTCCAACTCACAGTGACCCTATAGGACAAAGTAGAACCACCTGATAAGGTTTCTAAGGAGTGGCTGGTGGATTTGAGCTGCCGACCTTTTGGTTAGCAGCCGTAGCTCTTAACCACTGTGCCACTAGGGCTCCAGAGCAGAAGTAGAACCCATGTATTCCCTTTCCAGGAGATGAGGTGGAGAAATCTCTCTCCCCAGGGCCTTTCCAGAGGGATTCACTTCTTCAAGGTCAAAGCAACCAATTCTGTTTGGAATCTTCTCCTGTATCTAGTAGAGAATCCAAGTGCTTTCGCAAGAAGAGTCTCAATAGCTTCCAACAGCTGCTATAGGAAAGAGTAGATAGGACGGATTCAGTTCTGACTGATCTCTAGACTGGACCACGGCTTCCCCAACAGTGTGTAGTGAAGAACCAGTGTTGTTTCTTAATTTGCTTAACTTCCAATCTGTTGCAGACCGATATTTTTGTAAAATGCAATAAAATGAATTACTAGAAAAGTGGAATAAACAAGCCAAAGACACACAAAATGCATGCCCAATTATTTTTATTGTTAAACAACCATCAAACAACTGTCAAATTCGTACAAAAGTTTCTAAATGCTTCCTCTCGATTTCTGTATTTATTTTTTTGTGGACCAGTAGCAAACAGTTCATGGACCAACACTGGCCCGAGGCTCACGCTCTGAATAACACTGCGTAGACTCAAGTGGAGTTTCAGGCCCCCTTTAAGTAAATGTGTTATACTAGGTAAAAAAGCAGAGAAGCTGGGGACCAAACACGTTTTCAAAAAAAAACAAAAAAACTGATATTAGCCAAGGTCCTATTTGGTTTGACCAATCATACATTATAATGGTATATTTGGCAAGTGAAACAGAAGTTATATACATTAATAAAAGGACCTGAAATGTTATATTGACCAAAAGGGTCATAGGTTTTAGAAATTAAGAAAAACTGTTCTAGAAGGCCCTGAAATTGAAGAATGAGCAGAACAATCCAATGTCTAAGTCTTTTTGCCATTTCTCAGGCTATTACAAAGACACACAGACTCTGGATCTCAGAACAACCACGTACATACACACACACACACCATACAATACATCTAAGATAGTTGTATAAATAAATTTTCATCATCAAAAATGGAAGAACACAATCAGATTGAGAGATGTGGCTAGCTAGCATTGCTCCATAGAAATGTTAACACTGGGTTGGTATTTGTTTATAAAATTGGAAAACTTTGAATGTGTCCTTTAGTTAAAAGAACACTTCAAGCAATTATTATTTAGAGTTTAAAATCACCTTATTTTCTTTTCATGCTGGTGTGCCCACACATCAGGTTTGGTACATCAGTAAGACGATCTGGTGTACATAGCAAAGGGTGTGCAGTGTAAGGATCGCAAAATGAACAACGTACATCATAAGAACTGGGAGCAAATTACCAGGCGTGTTGTCCAGGTGCCTCTGGGAGGGCTCAAACGGCCAATATTTTGGCTAGTAGTCAAGGGCCTAACTATTTGCACCACCCAGGGACACCCTTGGTGCTAAGATAGGGGAAATCAACTTCCTACAGAAGGTGTCACTCTACTTTGTGTGAATTCATTTGGCAGCACCCTGGATAGCTGAGATCACACCACCATTCAAAGGACATTTGACTTAAAAATTTATGGGAGGACTAAATCAAAGGAGCCAGAAGTGTGCTGCCTACATGTGAGATTTGACAAAGTCCTAGAAAATAGGGACTGGCAAAATGGCACTCCACTTTTACAAAGCAGCCCACCCCTGTTACAATAGCTTTTAGCTTCAAAGATTGTTTTGACATGTTCTACCCAGGCATCATTCCCAGGAGGCATAAAGAGCAGGTATCATGGGTCCCATCTGAGAGATCAGTATTTGAGGCATATACCAGGAAGTGATTGCCTTAAGATGTGCTGGGAGAAAAGCCGGAAGAGGATTGTTGTTTCCTGGTTTGTAGTTCAGTTACTCCATCACTGTTTGTCATAGTCATCTAGTGCTGCTATAACAGAAATACCACAAGTGGATGGCTTTAACAAACAGAAATTTATTCTCTCACAGTCTAGTAGGCTAGAAGTCCGAATTCAGGGTGCCAGCTCCAGGGAATTCTCTGTCGGCTCTGGAGGAAGGTCCTTGTCATCAGTCTTCCCCAGTCGAGGAGCTTCTCAACGCAGGGACCCTGGGTGCAAAGGATGTGCTCTGCTTCCAGCGCTGCTTTCTTGGTGGTATGAGGTCCCCGTGTCTCTCTGCTTGTTTCTCTCTTTTATATCTTGAAAGAGATTGGCTTAAGACACAACCTAATCTTGTAGATGGAGTCCTGCCTCATTAACATAACTGCCGCTAATCCCACCTCAGCAACATCATAGAGATAGGATTTACAACACACAGGAAAATCACATCAGATGACAAAATGGTGGACAGTCACACAATACTGGGAATCATGGCCTAGCCAAGTTGACAGACATTTTGGGGTGACACAATTCAATCCATGATACTGTTCAAATGCAAGGACTCCAGTAAGGAAGAAAATTCTCATCCATGTGGTTGTGGAACAAGATTTTGATGTCAGGGCTCCTGACTGGCTAGTCAGTACCCATTCTTCCCTTTCACTCTTCTCTGAGCTCAGTGTCATCTCTGAGGCCTGCAGCTCCCCAGTACCTGCAGGTCTGCAGCAACTTGGGTCCTGGAGGCCAAGAGAGGCCTCTGTGGAGGTACAGTCTGAGGAGCTCAAACCAGGGTTCACTTGTGCCTGGGGATGCACAAAGACAGTCCAAGGTATACGGGACATGGATAGTTTTAAAGGAATCTATTTCCAAATCATCAGCTTCTATACAGTCTCATTCCCAAAACTTCTCTGAAGAAAGCCTTGAAAAAGGTTCTCCTTTTCCACCTCCCTCTCACTACCACGGAAACCCTGGTGGCATAGTAGTTAAGTGCTATGTCTGCCAACCAAAAGGTTGGTAGTTTGAATCTGCCAGGAGCACCTTGGAAACTCAATGGGGGCAGTTCTACTCTGTCCTATAGGGTCGCTATGAGTCGGAATCGACTCGATGGCAACAGGTTTGGTTTTGGTTTTTTTTCTCACTACCACGGAGCCCTGGTGGAGCAGTGGTTAAGAGCTACGGCTGCTAACCAAAAAGTCAGCAGTTCAAATCCACCAGCTGCTCCTTGGGACAGTTCTACTCTGTCCTATAGGGTTGCTATGAGTTGGAATGAACTTGACGGCATCAGGTTTGGTTTTTTTGTTTGTTTGTTTCACTACCACCCTTCTGCCCCTCTTACCTGCCCCGATCTTGCCATGGTGCATTGCCCTGATTAGATTTAGAATCCACACTACTTGGGTATGATCTAATTAAAATAACAAAGAAAACCCTATTTCCAAACAAGATTCCATCCACAGGTATAAGGGTTAGGATTCCAACACATATTTTGAGGGGACACAATTTAATCTAAAACCGAGCCCTTCTTGCTTTGCATTGTTTATTCATTCTTTATTGTTTGTTTGATGTCTGTCTTCCCTCCACATGCTGAGCCTCATTTCTCTGTATTTTTTAGCACTCTACTTGGACTATGGTTGGATTTCTAGCCTCCAGAATTGTGAGAGAATAAATTTCAGTTGTTTTAAGCCACCAAGTTTGTGGTACCGTATTATGGCAGTCCTAGGAAACTAATATAATTATCCAAGTGGACCTGATGTAATCACAAGAGAAAGAGGGTAACAGGAGAGTCAGTGCCAGAGTGATGCAATAAGAGAAACACTCAAGCAGCCATTGCTGGCTTTGAAGATAGAAAGGTTCCATGAGCCAAGGAATGTGGGCACAGGCAAGGAATTGGATTCTCCTTTAGAGCTTCCAGAGAGGAATGCAGTCCTGCAGACACCTTAATTCTAGCCTAGTGAGACCAATTTCAGACTTCTGACCTCTAGAACTGTAAGATGATACATCTGTGGATTTTTTCAAGTCA